GCTTGCTTTTCATCCAGGACTTTGGGGATTTTCTTTATTTCAGCCAGATTTGAAGAGGCTTAAAGATGTTCCTCTTTACTGTGTATAAAAACATAAGACTAATCATTGTTACTCAGCTGATTTAGGCTTAAGTGTTAAACCTTGAGTCATAAAATGATCCTGGGCTGAATATCCAACTTGACTGCTCATCAAAGACTGTGTTTGAGTTACTGGATAACGCCCAGTTTCATTTGCCAAAAGCAGGTATTGATCATGCCTGAAGTTTATGGTTTCAAAATAGGAATTCACAGCTGTAATTGTGAGTGTAATTGCAGCCCACAGGGATGTATATAAGTGGATGCACATGTGCATCAAATGTATTTTCTCATTGCAAACACATAAAATATGAAAAAAACACATTTAATGGCTGCTGATACGGTAATCATCCAAAGCATTTCCCTTCCTGCGCCATTTCTACAGTCAGATGCATTAACACCTGCACGAGGTCACCGTCAGCTGCACTGAGGATTATGTCCAGTGTTAGACTGTAACTACATTATAGTAATATATAATAGTGTAACAGTCCCAGGGGACATGTTTCTTCATCAAGTGTGTTCATACTTACTGTATACTGATTATACTTATGTACATTTACTTAAGTTAGTAAAAGTATGTTAGTAATTAGTAAAGTAAAGGATCTGAATACTTCCTCTATTACACTGATTATGTTTAAATTTACTTTGTTACATCTTAAAAGTTTCAGTTCTTCACTGACATGACATCCTGCATACCATTGAAAGGAAACAAAGAAAGCTTTTTCAGAAGCTATCAGAGAAATCTTTTTATTATAATAACAGAAGTTAGATATGCTGCATGGTGTAATTGTGTTACAAACAATATTTTGGTATATTCTGGTAGACATTTAATGCCATGGCATAATGATAGCTTTGAGTGCATGCACTTACCTGGCAGTTAACCTGGCAGTCTCCACTCTTAAGTAAATCACTTGGAATGTCTGTATAAAACAACTCACCCAACAACAAGTATGCACATGAAGAATTCACCAAACGCACATACACACCCACAAAGTCAACCAAAGATATTGTTTCATCTGACAGACTTTTTCTCCCCAAACAAACTTTTGAGAAGAAAGGAGGCTTTTCAACCGTTGCGGATTCACAACAAGTCACTATATTTACATAGCTCTGTTGATTTATACATGCAGCTGGAGATATCAGAGGATCCAAAGGCCACGTTCTCGAAAATATCACATCCCCGACTCAGCAGGTCACATCAAGACCGAATATTCTAATTAGACTGGTGCCGAGGGGGAAACTTTCCACTTAGCTGCAAAATCCCACTAAAACTAAGAATTAAGGTTGGACAGAAACCAGTAAAGCTTCATTACAAGACACAGGGAGGTGTGGAGAGCCAAAATAAACGAGCTCCTCTTCTCTTCCCTGCTTTCTCCTCACTCATATCTCTCTCTGCACCTGGCCTCTCCGTGGATACTGCCAGCTGAAAGAAACGTGGAGGAGTAAGGAAAGGCAGAAATAATGGGAAGACACACGTGACATCTTTTAATAAAACCTAATAGAAAGAAAGGGCAGGACGGGACAGGACAGATAAGTAACTGAAGGATGAGGAGAGTGGAAAAGGACAGCAAATCCTAGATGCGTGAGAGGAGAGGAATGAGCAGGCAACAGTGAGTCATCTACTACCCCAGAGCAACAACCCTAACTGTTATCACTAGTCCTCCATAGACCTGACCCAACTTATTTTAAAAGTTCTCATTACGTCACAGCATTAGCTTCTTTCCCATCGCTCGCTTCCCACATCTTCCGTTATTTAATTATCTAAGATAAGAAAAGCATTTTTTAATTATAAACTGACAGAATATTTTAATTTGGATGTAAGCCTTTAATTAAAACCACAAATTATTTTCCAAAGACCCACCGATAAGACAGTTTGAGAAGTAGGTTCACTCTATTGCAAAGAGTCAGATGAGAAGATACCACTCGAATGTCTGTACCACAAATATGAAACTTTTCTGCCAGGAGACAGTTAGCTTAGCTTAGCATGAAGACTGGAAACAGCTAGCCAGGCTCTGTCTGAAGGTAACAAAATCCACCCAGCACCTCTAAAGCTCACAAATCAACTCGTCATAACTCATTTGTTTCTGTACAAACACTAAAGTGTAAAAACGACATGTTGCTGGACTATTTCTTGGCAAGGACCTGAAACTTCCTGGAGTTGTGGCGTCACTTCTAACAAGCTGCTTACCTTATTTCCTGTCTCCGTGCTAAGCTAAGCTAAGTATCTCCAAGCTATAGCTTAAAATGTACCTCACAAAAACAAAAGGGGTATCAATCTTCTCATCCAGCTTTCGGCAAGACAGTGAATAAGGGTGTTTCCCAAAATGTAGAACTATTTATTTAACATCCGACTGTTGAGCAAAAACAGGAATAAGCCTGATGTTATTGTAAATACTCGCTGATTAGATGGATTTAGCAGTGAGATGGAATTTATCGTGGTGTAATATGCGTGACTAAAATAGTAGTGGAAGTTTTGGATGTGATTTATAAGCACCATAACCATAATTGCACCGTAATTTATGCTTTGCCTGACGAAACACTGCTTCTTCTCACCGAGCTGCATGTAGTGCATTGACAGAGAAATAATAAAACAAACATAATTTGCTTAGAGGTTGGTTACATTTTGTTTCTCATGCTCACACATATACACACAAACCCACCACCATACAAGACTTTCAGCATGCATATATTTCTTAAAATGTGTTCTGTCTCAGATGTTTTCTGCGTTTGTCTGCCAAGGGTAAAGATAGCCCCCTTTCTGATGACCTAAAGTGTGTTATAGATCATGAAAATTGTAAGCGAGCATCTTGGCAGCAGTATACACACTGAATTTAGAGGAGAAGTCATCCTTGCATGGGAAAGGGATGCTTGCTTTGTTGAGAACTGGCCAGAGAAAACCCTGCCTGGGCCCAAAGGAGCAGCTGGGGGAAAGACTGAGTCACAAACAGCACATATACAAAGTTCTCTCCTGCAGCAGTCCTGACCCTTTGGTTGGACTGGTTTTTTATTAACAGTGCTGTCTAGACAGAGTTCAGTACAAAAAGAAGCATTGGTTGACCCAGAGTGCTGTCCACACAGCTTGAGGAGAGAACATAAATGATGGTGCTTCCTCAGCCTCAGAGGGCATGACCAGCAGAGTTACCTCAAGAAAAAGACTTCTCAGCCACACACGCAGGGAGAAAACCTCCTGCACCTCCCGGTTCACTACACATAAAGTATTGGTTTCAGTCCCAGCGGAAATGAATGAAAAGAAAGCACAAAAGGCTGGAGAGAGTGTGAAGACATGGAGCCATGTAGCCAACTATGATGAGACACATCAGTGCGAGAACAATAGCTTTATTGAAAATTATTTGTATAGTTACTAAGTATAGTCACAGAGGCTGAAGTGCATATTTTAACAATAACAGACATTCTCTGGAAGTCACACTGCTACTGTGCTAGGACACACTGTACATACAATCTACATACACTGTACATACACTGTACATACACTGTACATACAATCTACATACACTGTACATACACTGTACAAAGATGCAGGAAGTAACCTTTATAAAAACAACCCACTGTGTTCTGACAGTTGTACATGAGACCGATCATCTAGAGCTCATAATGGCATTTGCAAGAATCAACACTTTGGCTGTTGTACAGATTAAGCAAACACGATACAACATGTTAATAAGTGAGCTTTAGAGGTGCTGGTAGGTGGATTTTGTTTTACTATCAGACAGAGGCAGGCTTTTCATTCTTTGTGCTAAGCTAAGTTAGCCAGCTGGTGGCTGCAGCTTCATATTTAGTGTACAGGCATAAAGTGGCATCAAACTTCTTATGTAATCCTCTATAAGAAGCAAATAAGCTTATTTCACAAAATGTCAAATGTATCCTTTAACTAACATTTTCAATGCAGAACTTATAATTAGTAGTATTATAGTATTGCTACTTTATATTTAGGTAATTAACACTTCCTTAACCACTATTAACAAAACATTTGGCCCATTTATCATTCTTTTTAAAGGCAAGATATCATTTTATTATATTATATATTAATAAATATGAACAATATACAAATAGCATTCAGTGTAACAGCTGAAATAGTCTACCTGAAAATCTGTCTAGATTCCAGTGGTCCCAGATAAAAGAATGATGAATGAATGAATGAGTTTACATATCTGCTTATATTATCAATACAGCACACTCTCCCCCTCTCTTCATCCTTCCTCTTGTAGGTCTTTATGTCTGTCTGTTCCTAAACAATAGAGATAAACGGTCAATCCTTTCGTTGGATGCACTCCAACACAAACATTTATTCACTCATTAACTGTTGCTTCCTCTAACTGGATCTCTCCCATAAACACTAAGATGCTTAAATAGACAATGTCATTATAAGTGAAAATAATTGCATTATTTCACAGTGATGGATAATGCTTTTGGACAATAGTACCAAACATCCACATCAACACACACACATCCACATCAACACAATCCACACACAAGAAAAAAATACATGTTTGTTGAAGTAGAAAACAAAATGAGTTCTCTAAAACATATGTGGTAAAACATCAACACTATAAGCAACAACAGGAAGTCAGTTATTGTCTTGGAAATGACATACAATCTATAATTTCCGTATTGTTTTTCTTCTTTCTTTACCCAATTTTTTTAAACCTGTATTTCCACAGCTCTGGCTGAGGACCAGTTGTAATCAGCAAACAGCTCATTTGAGGAGAAATGTTGCTTAACCTCAAAATTCATCATTGAACCACAAGTCAATCACAACTGTCACTGACAAATGAGAGAACCACACTCTCAAACTGTGTATCCATATGGGAAATAGTTTGACTAAAAACACCTTTTTTTATTTCCACAAAAAACAAAATAATTTCTCTAAGCGTTAGAATACTCGCAGCGCTGCACTCTGTACTGATATCTGGTGGCTTTTCATCGATCATACTCCTTCAAATGATTAGACTTCCTGGAGAGGTGAGCTTCTGCATTAACAACAATATTTATGCCTAGCTTTTTTGCACATGGTGCAGATGTTTCTAGAAGCAAATGCATAAAGGAGTGGATTCAGGCAGCTATTCACAAATGTCAGTGATCCAACGATGTTCCAGCTGTTCATACAAAACTTCAACAGGCCCTCACTTTTAGCTGCAATAGCTGCAACACCAAGCACATTTATGATAAAATATGGCATCCATAGAGCAAAAAAAGTCACGATGATACTGGTGACCAGCCAGGTTGTCTGTGGGTTGTTGAAGAAAGCTGCCTGGTGCACCTTCCTGTGGAGGCTGATGTACGCAAATGCCACAACAGAAAATGAAACAAATCCCACCAGGGACTCTGTCAGCAGCACGGCCACCTGCTGGGCCGGGGAAGAGAATTGACCTTCACACTTTGTCCAGTACCCGTCTGTGCCCAGCTGTCGAACCACTAAAGCAGGGATGGACAGGATCATCGCAACCAGCCAGAGCAGAGCCAGCAGCCTCCTCTTTCCTGCCTGGGGCAAGCACTTCTGCAGGTACACCACCTGTAGGTAGCGCTGGACACTCAGCGCCGTCACAGTCAGCAGGCTCCCATAAAGGCTGCAGTACACGAGATACGTTAGAAGCTTACAGGCCACCAGGCCGAGGGTCCAGCTGTACAGAAAGGTGTAAATCCACAAGGGCAGGGTGAGCAGGCAGAGCAGGTCTGACATGGCCAAATTCAGCATCAGAGTCTGGCTCAGATTGGATAGGTGCTGCCTGTTTGGCTTGAGGATGATCACGGCGGTGTTTCCAGGAACTCCCAGCAGGAAGCAGAGGGACAGCACCACCGCAGTGACCAGACTGCTGGAGTCCCAGGAGGGAGGAGGTGGAGGTACAGGAGAGGAGGAGATGTTTGAAGTGACCACAGTGGAGTCGAGCTGTTCCATGCTGCACAACCTGCTGGCAGAGAAGCTGAATGTTGTGTACTGCGCAATGTTGTTCAGTGAGCAGGTGAGGCAATAACATGTTCCCCCTTTGATGCGTTCAAAGAGGAACAAAAAATAAGGAAACCATGAAATCATGCCCGCATATCACGTTCCGTTACGGCTGCATTGTTTTGCATGGCTCCATTATCTGTCGTATATATCATATTCTGTTTTTTGCACAGGGAATAATGGTATCATTGAACCTTCAGGGAAGTAAAAATTATTCATGTATAAGCTCTAATTTTCATACCTAGATATGCTGCAGCAGTGAAGTCTCCACATATTTAAATACAATGACAGTATTCGTCAAACTTGACGTCAAAGTAAAAGCCCTTTCATAGAATAATCCCAATTTGTTTCACATCCAACGTCATGTTTGTTTATAATGAAACAAAAAACATATTTACACACATTTCAAATAATGTTCAACCTATTATATATTACTAGTACATTATCTATTATAACTAAAAAAACTAATCTAATACCGTCTATATTTTGAAAAAATGATGTGACCACAAGGTCCATTTAGAAGCTGTTTTTTCAATTTCAATCTTTTTACATGATATTCATCAGCAGATTGACAATTCCTGTTTTTCTAAAGACTTCTAGTTTGTGTTGGCTTAAAACAAGTTTGTTAATGACAAAGGACTTATGGTACCCTTAAAGTGGCCAGAATACATACCAAATACCAACTCCAAGTGCAAGATGATGTGATAAATTGAAAGTTCCAGAAATCTCCCAGAATTCTGCTCCTAAAGAAAGAACTTACATATTTTGTTTACAACACAAAACTTGTTGATTTCACTTTTTTATTTTAAATCCTGCTATTCACGCAAGTGCACAAACATCATCTGTTGGTATGATGACAGTAATAACTGACCCTTTGACTGATGTGTGTGTGCCTGTAGGTGCCTGTGTGTGCTGGTGTTACACAACATCTAATCAAGGAGAAAGGAGGAGTTCCTGCACTGAATGAACTCCTGTTGCACCAAGCAGAGAGACACTTGTCAAAATAAACCAACAGGGGTTGAAATACAGGTTCACCAGATCTGAGAGGTGTGTGTGTGTGTATCTAGACACACTTCAAACGTCACCTGACATAAATCTAAACTTACATTTTTGACCGCAAAAGCACCGGATAAACACGCGCCCAAAGGCAACATTTTGTCGGTGGATCTCTCTGTAAATAGCTTTACATCTAAATTAATTCCTTTTCTATTGAAAGCGCTGCTGTTCTGCGCATGTTCCCGACCTAATACAAATATTTGCGGAATCCGAGAAAAATACCCCAAATTCACGAACTTTTGAGCTAAAATCTAATGTCATCACATGATCAAAACCCTTCATTCATGCTTGCACCCTCTTGGCTCGGACTCCCCCCTTCTGCCTGTTTGCTCGTCACTTTTTTTCTGCATCAGAGTGGGATGCAGATGTCTATGAGGATCTCAGCACACAGCTTCTTGCGCTCCAGTTTTTTTTTTTTTTTTGAGCCCAGGAAATGATGGAGCCCAGTCTGCTGGAAGCCGTTTGGATAGAGAGGTTTTTTTATTGATGAGAAGAAGGACATTTACTGGCCGTTTTTAGGGGGGTATTTTTTGAATGTTTGCAGGTAGGACTTTGTATTTCTTGCATCTCTTCGCCAAGGGACATTTATGCATGCAGTGACATTTTCTTTCAAAATAAAATAACATCACTATCTTTCCTCTTAATTATAAAGCTATATTTAGTCTCTATCTCCTTTTTGACCAGTACCGTTAATTAAATTAAGTTTAAGACTTATTTTCTAAGATGCAGTCTTTACAGTAACTCTTTAAATAGGCTAGTAGAATAATATCAGACTTTATTCACATCAGAAAATGGGCAATACTAATGTAAAAAAATGTTCTGTTGTGTCACTAAATGACAGTTAAGATAGGATGTTGCGTGTAATAACGAAAGCATTGTCTACATTTTGAAATGTGTATCCTATTCTTAAGTTGCAGAAACCTCATGTCAATTTAAAGTAAAATATCACCGCCACACTTTGCTGTCTAAGAGGTTTATTGTTTCGAGATTGAGCTTGTGCGCCCTCTGCTGGCCACTGTGGGAACATGCATAGAATTTCTTTCATGGCCTAATAGAAAAAGTAAGAAGTGTTGGTGGCATTTCAGAGGTTTTGAACCATGGTACACTTTGGTATTAGTAATTTCTATTTGTATTTTCAGTGGGATGGGACTCAATCACTTCCTGTGTCTGCTGCTCTGTGCAGCTGCCCTGACAGCGTCTGTAGTTTCTGGTGAAGATGAGAACAGCGAGGCATACAGGTGGACCAAGCAGAGCCTCCCGGTGCTGCTGGACACACACACAGAACCTTTAAACACTCCTTCATTCAGAGGGCAGGAGGAGGATGAGGAGAAAGGAGGGACAAAGACAGTCTGTGGAATAGAGTGTCAAAGCAGCCGGCCACCTATGGACCAGACTGAGCAAGAGAGGATTCTGGGATATGAGACCGTGTATGAGAATGGCACTCGCACATATACAACTGTCAGCTTGCAGGGTTTCAACAAGATGTCTGCAAGAACACCAGCCGGCTCTCCAACTCATACCCGCAGGAAACGGCAAGTTTATGGAGCAGATGGACGCTTTGTGATCTCTGACTCACATTTCATCACCAACTACCCTTTCTCTACGGCTGTTCGTCTCTCCACAGGCTGCTCTGGTGTCCTGATCTCCCAGAAACATGTGCTAACAGCGGCGCACTGCATCCATGATGGGAGAGAGTACCTAGAGAGTGCCAGAAGGGTTAGAGTAGGGGTGCTACAGCTCAAGACTAAAAGAAGAAGAGGGGGTAGGAGGAGAGGAGGGCGGCTGAGGGGCGGGAGGAGAGGAGAGGGGGACAGAGGTGAGGAGCAGATAATGGAGGAAGATGAGGAGCAGAATAGTATAGATGGAGATGTAGTAAGAGGTAGGAAGGGAGGCAAAGGCAAGAGGCGCAGGGGAAGAAAAGAGGGTGAGGAAGGTGTAACAGATCATGGAATTAGGGGCGACTTAGAGAGAGGAAGAGGAGGGAAGCAGAAAAGTCTCAACCGTATACGACGTAGTGCTGAGCCCAAGAAGCAGCCCGTCTTTCGTTGGGCACGAGTTAAACAAACCCGAATCCCTCAAGGATGGATCCAAACCAAGAACTCCACCAAGTCGATGTCCACTGACTACGATTACGCTGTTCTGGAGCTGAAACGACCCCTCAAACAAAAGCACATGGAGCTCGGGGTGGCACCCTCGACCATCCCCCTGGCACGGATCCACTTCTCAGGCTATGATGCTGACAAAAGCCTGCTGGACGGGCGTGGAGAAGAAAAGGTGGTCTACCGTTTTTGTTCAGTGGCAAATGAGTCTGAAGATCTGATGTACCAGCACTGTGACGCGCAGCCAGGCGCTACGGGGGCAGGTGTTTACATTCGTCTGAGGCAGGAAGTAGGAGAAGCAGGCAGGAAAGGGAAGTGGCAGCGGAGGGTGATTGGGGTGTTTTCGGGCCATCAGTGGGTGGAGGTGGAAGGAGGTGAGCAGAGGGACTTTAATGTTGCAGTGAGGATTACTCCACCCAAATATGCCCAGATCTGTCACTGGATCCAAGGAGATCCAAGTCTCTGTAAAGAGGTTTGACTGGAAAGTGATTGACCTACAAGACAAAAATAAAGGTTGTCACTTTCAAAGAGACTCAAAGATCTGGGCCTGTATGTATAAAACTTCTAAAAAGCAGTTCTTAATAATGGTCCTAGACTTTGACTTACAGTTGATAACTATTTAGTGAAAAGTAGGACTTAGACGCTGACTTTTAGCAAAGTATACAAACCCTACACTACAGTGTTGTCAATTAAGGCCTCCAATCATGTCTAGGTCCTTCTTCAAGCACTTAAACAGCCAATAGCATGCCTCAAAGGTTGTGTGGCATAGCTGCAACACAGCTTCATACACTCCTTGTCGTACTTACCTACCCATCATTCATTGTGTCCAACGTTATAAATGCTTCAATACAAACAGTATATTGCAAGATGCAAGACAAAAGCTTATAGAAAATATTTCCCCTACAGTTACAATGACAATATTAATACACCGGTATAGTGTTTGAAAGGTATTAAATTAGTTCAAGTTTATATAGTAAACATTTTAAGTGATACTCGTCTGTGGAGGTCCTGTAAAATCTTTTTATGTGGATTAAGAACATGCTGTTATTTTTCCAAAACAAACATTTCCTTAAAAGACTAGATTATCCTTAAAAGACTTTAGATTATCCATAACATTATCTGACTCACAACAAATCACATGTTTGCATTCTTCTTCTTTTTTTAAAATCTGGCACCTACTGTACATTACCCACAATGTAACTCAACCACTGACAGTTCAGTCAGAGATTTGGGTGTGTTATGCTGGTAGCGGCAAATATAGCCTCAAGCAGAGATGAGGAGCGGGGTTCACACCCCCAGATTTGTTTTCATTTTGTAGTATTCAGACTCAAGTGACATGAAATCACTTGAGGTCATTTATCATGTTACGCAGCTCCCTTTGGAGCCACAGAAAGCTTTATACAACTTTCTTTTTTTACATATGGAGTAGTACTCCCTAAGACCAAACAGACTCCGTGCAGTTCTCTTTTAAAAAGTTTCCTGCCAAGTGTATATGTTAAAAACAGTTCAACTTGTAATATCTGTGTGCTATTCATTGTCTTTTATACTAACTATAATTCATTTATTTCACTGCTCAGCCAAAAATATTATTGTTGCACTTTTTGTAATTGTTTTAAATGAGACTAATACAAACTTCAGGAAGATATGTAAACATTTGATTCTATTTATGTCGGAACCATCATGTCAGGAACTGTGGCCTATTCATTCATTTATAAGTTTATTGTCTCCTTTTCTTAACACCACAGTTGTCTGTCTCTGAAACACCTAATTTATATAACTCTGAAACTGTAATTATGTCAAAGAAAAGTCGAAGCCATATGTTTTTCTCCTGTGTCACAATGTAAACATTTTGCTTTGTTAACTTTTGTATAGAAGCATACACAGTTAAACTGGTTTTAGCCTTCATGCTAAAGGAAATACTGGGTCAACACAACGTTTGTATGTATTTTCTGACGTTCTGAAGCGAGTAACATTATCTTGTTTTGTAATTTCGTTTTCATGCCACAAGCACATTTTCTTGTCAACAGAA